CTGATCTCATCTGATCTGATCTGATATAATTTTAATAAGAATAAATAATAAGTAGAAAAAAATAAGTTGAACGGAACGCTGCCTAAATCTACTTTGATGCTAGTCCTATTGGTGTGTGCTACCAAGAGCAAACAAGGAGGGCATGATTGATCTAAACTAGTTCTCTAACCCGTGCGTTGCACGGACAGTATTTTGAGTCAGTGAAAGAAAATAAAAAATAAATTTATAGTGTATATAAAGACAATGAAACGAAATTGTATTCAATATAAACATTAAAAGTATTATATACTAATATTGAGGATTGCATAGTGAAGACAAAAAACGAAATTAAAGGTTTTGAGTGAATAACATAAATCTAAAGAGACAAAAAATGTTCACTGCAAACTCCAGTAAGAGATGAGAGTCGTGTCCCACGACAACATCGCTTCGGTCATCTTCAGTCTTTTTCATCGATTAGAGCAGCGACATCTTCGTCAGTTGAAGCAGGGCTCACACAAAGCTTGAGGATGAGATGTGGTTTGAAAATAACCATAGAAAAAGCGGTGTTTCTTTAATGAAAACAGGTCCAAAGCATTCTACATTATCAAAGTCCCATCACACGCTTCTTAGTGTAAAGTCATATTATGCTTTTATTCTTTCCCATAAACTCTTACACTTTCTCATAATTATTTATTCAAATTATTACACTTTTTCATAAACTTTTACCATAAAGAATTTATTTAAGTTACACTTTCCCATAAACTTTTACTCTTTCTCAAAGACTTTTATAGTTTCTCATAAAGTATTTATTTAACTTGCACTTTTCTATAAACTTTTACACTTTCCCATAAAGAATTTATTTAAGTTACACTTTCTCATAAACTTTTACTCTTTCTCAAAGACTTTTATACTTTCCCATAAAGTATTTATTTAAGTTGCACTTTTCTATAAACTTTTACACTTTCCCATAAAGAATTTATTTAAGTTACACTTTCTCATAAACTTTTACTCTTTCTCAAAGACTTTTATACTTTCCCATAAAGTATTTATTTAAGTTGCACTTTTCTATAAACTTTTACACTTTCCCTAAAGTATTTATTTAAATTACACTTTTCCATAAAGTAACACTTTTCCATAAAATATTAATTTAAGTTACCCTCATCTAATTCGGTCAGACCATACCCAAAACTATATCCAATTAGATGGGCGGGAAAATTGTACTGTATATTACGGAGTAAAAGATTATTAAAATATGGTTTTCAAATACCCTACAAATAGAAATTTTTGGATTTCAAAAATCTAAACACCAAAAATAAAAAAACAATATTTACTGATAAATTTCAAGGCGGCTTTATATATATACAAATTTTATAATTTTGTAAATCAAAACACTCAAAAATTGAAAAAAGTAAAATAAAATTAAATAAAAAACCTTGAGTCATATTCTCTAGCTAGATGCACTATTTGTGGTTCTTTTTGTCCATCCACTCACTACCTTGGACAAAATATAAATGGTCTAAAAATGCATTAAATTACTCCTTAATATAACTTTATTTGTTTTATAAAACTTGTGATTTAATTAAATATACACCCTATAATCTTTACTAAAATTAATTTCAATCCCGCACATTATAAATCAAAACCATCCTTAATCAATGCGACCGAACACATTTGATTTTCCACTGTAGCTTTGATTGTACTTCCTCCGTCCCACTGTCTTTGTCCACTTACCTTTTGGCACACCATCCAATGCACTTCTTTAATCCATTTTATCTTGTAATTTGTATATTAAAAAATTATAGAAATTATATATTAATAATCTATATGTTAAGACAAATCAAACAAGATCACACATGACTATATTTAGGCTTACACATTGAGAGAATTTGATGAGTCAAAGTGCTTAGATGAACAGTTCCAAAAGTCAAAAGTGGACAAAGAAAGTGGGACAGAGGTAGTATTAAGAAAGGTTGTTTTAAAATAATAAATTTGTTTTAGCTTAGGGAGTGGTGAGAAAGTAATGATGTCTTTACATTGAAATATGTGAGAAGAGTGACCAAGCTGTCAAATTTCGTCTCCCAATAGGCGTGCCTCTTAAGTGCATTAAATGCATTGTACTTTTGGTTCGTGACTCAATAAATCTATCCTTTAGCATTTATTACTCCACGGGTACCAAAAAATTAAAAGCTCAACCGTAACACTCATTTTGTCAATTGGACCCATTTTCTTATTTACACAACCAAATACCCGAGAATTAATACCCAACCCGTGCACAATCACTTTATGAGGGAAAATGCACTTTGGAGGTCATCGAGATTAGTAAATAGACCCGGAAAAACGCGTTTGGGAGCCATATTGAGATGGAATTTTCGAAGAGCTCTAATGGTGGAGAAATGAGAAATGGTTGTTTTGGGAAGGGTTGTTTTTAAATAATAAATTTTTTTTGGAGAGTGGTGAGAATTAATGATTTCTTTATATGGGAACACGTAAAAAAAAGTGGCCAAGCCGTCAAAATTACACTCCCAATAGGCGTGCCTTAAGTGCATTAAATGGATTGCATTAAAAGCATAAAATTTCGTCTCCCAATGTCTCTTTACACGTGTGCCTTAAGTGCATTAAACAGGGGCGGACCCAGAACATTTGAACTGTGGGGTCGCAATTTAGAAAATTTATATCCAATCGTCATATTTCTAACAATAAATAAACAGTATTCTATAATACATAACATTAAAGTTTATATATGTTATTGAAAATACTAATTAAACATAATTCTACATTGCAAATGTGAAATACATCTTTGGATTCTCAATCAATTCTTTCTTTTTAAATCTTGGTGTTTTTAAAAATACTTTTGCATCCTATATTGAAATTTAAATAATTAAAAACATTATAAATTTAAAACATAACCTAATTATATCAACATATTCACAAATCACAATCTTAAAAAAATAAACGAATTCAATTCCCTATTCTGCTATTCACAATAACAAATTTATAACAAAAAAATAAAATTTTCATAATTTACAAAAATCTGGCAAGTAGAAATGGAAGATAAAGATTTGTTCGAGAAATTGGGGGTGTCATCTTCCAAAAGATACTATATATACTCATTCCTTTGCATCCTATATTGAAATTTAAATAATTAAAAAAATTATAAACTTAAAATATAACCTAAATATATTAACATATTCACAAATTACAATCTTAAAAAAATAAACGAATTCAATTCCCTATTCTTCTATTCACAATAAGAAATTTATAACAATAAATAAAAATTTTCACAATTTACAAATAAAAAAAGAAATATCTAATTTAGATAATTAGATTCAATAATGTAAGAAAAAAAACCTGGCTCAGTAGAAATGGAAGATTTGAATTTTGAAGATTTGTTCTTGAAATTGGTGGTGTCATCTTCTAAAAAATAATATATACCCATTTCCTAAAGCTAGTTTCAATCTCAGAAACGCCCACCCTAATGGAAAACGCGGAGCATTCCACTCCTTCAGCGGGTACAAGTTGAAACCTCCTGCATTTTTTAGAATATATACTAAATATACGTATACACTAAGAAAATTGTGTATATATATACTAAAAAAATTTATAATTTCCGTGTGGTCGCTTGACCCCGTTTGACCCAACGTGGGTCCGCCCCTGGCATTAAATGCATTACATTAAAAGTATGAAATTTTGTTTCCCCGTGTCTCTTTACACACTTGGATACCCGAGATGAAAAGTGCTTTTTCCCAAAACATTTGAATACCCGAGAATTAATACTCAACTTGTTGACCCAACCCGAAGCCCATAACCTTAGGCGGGGAAAAACACTATTCATGTTTCCCGTTCATCTTTGTATATTAATAGATTTAATTTAGACGTCCTCTTTGATAAATGACCACTAAAGTTTAAACCCATATGATAATAATACGGAGTATTTACATAATGTGTGCAAGTCGAACCATTAGGACAATAAATGAGGGGCAAATAAAGAAAATGCAAGACACACACTTTACAAAATTCACCAAAAATGAGTATGCATACTCCGCACCATATATAAGTCATACTGATGGATATCAGGACCTTGGAGCAAGCCCAATGGGGTCCAAATGTGATTTCGTGACCCAACAGGAATAGAGCCCGAGTCCGGAACAGGAGGAGAGGCCGAAGCTCAAGGAACATGCAAAGTGGCGGGCCAAGTCTGGCCCAAAGAGGTGGATTAAACACGGTGTAAGAGGGAAACATGATTTCCCAGTTCGTGGGATTGGGGACTGATTGATGACTAATTCCTCGTCACGATTGATGCATGATAGTTTATTTACCGACAATGTACCGTATGAAATTGTATACCTTGTATATGATAGAATTATACTACTCGCTCCGTCCACAAATAAAGTTCTCATTGCGCGTTACGATGTTTGACTGAAATTATTTTCAAATCATTTTATATGAAAAATGGTATGAAATTAAAAAAATTCAAATTACATATTTAAAAACTACATGAAAAGATCTACAAAACTAGTAGTGGCATGACTATATAATTTTATCAAACAAGACACAAAAATAGGCCAACAAAGTGAATAAAGTTTGACCTTGTGAATAGTGAACTTGAACTTTATTGTTGGACGGAGGGAGTATAAATAAGGGGGTGAATCCTTCATTGTAACTCAAACTGAATCTAGCTAATAGAAGCCTACGAGAATTCCATTTCATCTATATTCTTGTTATTCTCATTCAGTTCGTTGTTTCACCATAGTCGTTGGTCAGGAATCTCATCAGATACATCTCAATCCGGTGGGAATTACAGGATTGAATACAAATAACTTTTTAAAATTGAAAACTATATATAAAAATATTCACCGGTCCATGGCAAGAAAATTGGGAGCACATGCCCCTTAGTCAAACTTTATAGTTATTCGCTTATTTATTAATCTCTTTGGTAAAGTTAATGGTACCCCGTTTTAAAATGTTACTAAACCGTTTTCAGACTTCAGTAATCTCTTTAGTAGTTCAACCAAATCGTTACTAAATATGGGAAGTGTTCAAATTTTGCTCACTAAACATTAGTAATTACTTCCTCCGTTCCTTAAAGTCGTTTCCTTATTAACTTTTTAGGAAATTAAGGGAGAGATATTTTGGTGTTGACTTTCCAAAAATATCCTTGATGTGATGGGTAAAGTAAGATATGATGTGTAGATTATTAGTAAAATGTATGATGTGATAAGTAAGGTATGAAAAAGTAAGAGGTAAAAATGATTTTTTAATAGATAAGGGAATGAATTAGTGTGACAAGAAAAAAAGAAAGGGAATGAAGTTTAAGGGACGGATGGAGTATTTGAATATATGATTACACTAAACTATTATAAAACTATACTGAGTAATATATATATATATATATATATATATATACATATATATATATATATATATATACATATATATATATATATATATATATATATATATATATATATATATATATATATATATAGACACACACACTCTCTTTCTCTCTCTCTCTCTCTTTGGAAAATATTAAATTTTACCCGAGTACCATTTTATAACATATTCATTTTAACTATTTGAATTGTTGTATTGTTTCAGATGAAATATATTACCTCGTTTACTTTTATCATTTGAAAAAAAATTCGACAACGCTACCCCCAGACCCTCGTACTAATTAAGAGGCTTCCAGTCATTTTGATTTGTGCCACCTATGAAAAACATCATGTTATAAGAAACCATTTATGTAATAACTCTTAAAACAAATACTTCTGTATTTTATGGATTTGATTTTATAATATCAAGAATAAATGTCATACCTAGCAATTGTTTTGTTCATTCTAAAGGTATACACTCCACAATTGATGTTGATACTAGATTTGCAAAATTAAATGTCTTCAATATATAATTTGATCAAATCCAACAATAATATGCCATTTATCATATTGAAATGAAACCAAGACCAATGATTACATATGGAGCAGGTATTAGTCCAATGAAAATCTTTGTGCGGTGTTGGGATAAATGCCCATATACCTCGGCATGCATGCATGCATGCAATTTCCCATATAAATACGTGTGAAATATACATAATATATTTTTGATCCTCCTCTATATATACGCATGTGCATAGAGTATATGATCCTTTATGTACATAACATAATAAAGGTATATACATTTTCATTATCATCTTTGCTTCAATTCCATACCGACAATAAATAACGTATAATTGAAGCATTCACGCCGTGGTGGATCAAGACCAAATTAACCAAATCATTCCAAACAAGTTTTTTGGGTATGTATTTATATATAATAATATTTATAATTCAATCTCACATATTTAATATAATTCGATCCCTTCATACATTTATTACATGAAGGTTATTTATTTTTTTGGGTATATATCTTTTTATTATTGTGTATAAATGATAATATATGTCGGTGTTATATACTCACAACGAATTATATTAAAAATACTGAGTAATATTTTTGACAGATATTTATATGATACGCATAATTATTGAATTTTAAATTTATGTTTTCTTGTTTTGAAAACGTTTAAGATTTTTCATTAAAAACTAAAAATCCAAACTTGTAGTTGTTGATTTGATGGTTTTTGCATGACATGCAGGTTATTGGATATTTAAACAAACAATTAAATTGAAACAAAGAATGGAATACTGGAAAATCATGAACAATCTTTTTCTTGTCACGACCATGGTTCTAGTGGCGTTCATGGTAACCCGTCCAGAGGCGGCGGGCGACGCGGAGACATCGTCAAAAAGGAAGCTGATCGTGGTGACAAACAACCACACGAGCTACCTGAGCCTCAGGTGCTTCTCATTCGACAATGCCTTCGACGTGCAGCACCTGAACTCATGGGAGCAGTTCAAGTTCATGGTGGATGTTCGGGTGATTTTCCCCTCAGCCACCATGTGGAACTGTTCCACTAACATGGGCACGTTCGTGGCCTTTCGCCACGACTACGCCTGCAGCAACCACCCGTCCAACACGTGTCAGTGGAGGTTCGACGAGCACATGACCTATGTTTATGACCCCACGGTGGCCCTTTGGGTTGCCGTGGAGTACAACCCTAACTATGAATCACTCAATAGGGGTGGTGTTATAAGAGGGTATTATGTGAATTAGTCAATCCAAAGTCTTGGTTGTGTGTATTATTAAATTTGTAATTAAGCATTTTACAAATCATATTGTCAAATGTATATTCAAATGAGACCTGTATATATTGTTTTTTTGCTCTAGTTTTTAATTGGGGAAATGAAATCTTTTTTTTCTTCTCTTAAATCTTAATGCCTTGCAAAATGTCCGGTTTGTGACCCTAACATATTATTTTAGTCGTATCTACTTATAAACCTATGACAAGTGTTTGGAACTTGTTAACAAAAGTGAGATTTGTAAAGAAAATGGAGATTAATTATGACGAGTAGTAATTCGAAATTACCCAAAGAAAAAGATATATGCAAACAAATGACAAATATAATTATAACTAGATGAGTTTTAGGGCATAAATATCTAGGCATTCAAAGAAAACAAATGTAAAAGTGTTAATTTGGGCTGGTTTTGTACTGGTTATCTAAGAGTATATAGTACAAACTGTTAGACATAATAGTATTATTGTAGTATTATAGTCCTAGTTGTAGTAGAATAACTAGTTGTCATCTTAGAGGAGTCCTAATCCTACTCATGTTAGGATCTCTAGTTATATATACACCCATGTATCCTCATCTCTCATACAAGTAAATTCCATTATTTCATAGAATTCAACACAAACTATCGTCTTCCATTTGTTTCTTTTATTTGAATGCCTAGAGATTTACAATGATCTAATTATATATTTGTCATTTCTTTGCATATATCTTTTTCTTTGGGTAAATTTCAAATACTTATGGTCATAATCTCCATTTTCTATACAAATCTAGTAGTTTTACCCAATTTTTTGCTCGTATATGAGTATTATCCGATTATTTTTAATGGTAGCTGGGAATTACTTTTATGTATATGTATGTGTGTGTGTGTATACATACACACACACACACACACACATATATACATAAAAGAACCGATGTAGTTTTAATTAATATGCCTTATATACCTATGAAGCTCACAACAATATAGGCAGGTTGAACCTAACCCGAGAGTTAGACAACTGGGACAATGCCTTTGTAGTTGGGCGCCAGCTCGAGAGGGGGGGTCAATTTTTTGACGATTGAGAGTTTTGATGCACTACAGGTTAGGCCCCTAGGTGGTTTATGTTGGAGCAAATTAAATCCAGAAGCAAGTACGAATTAAGGGGCCTGAAGGTAACTCATGTTGGAAATAACACCTAGGGAGGGGAGGGGGTGAATAGAATTATTACCCAAAACAAAAAAAAAATCTCGACATAATTTTTCAATCAAATGTCTTTCGTGTATGCAATACTCAAACCATACAATCAACAATCTAAAAGGAAAGTAGAAAGCATTAAGAAATGAAATTAATTTTTTCTACCTCTATCGAGTGCATCCCGGTATTATGATACCTGCCCACTGGAGGCATCCACAAAGCTTATAAGCTCACCACCGTAATTTCGTTCCCCATTTGGTCTATGTTTGGCAGCGGACAAGCAATGGATCCATGTAGCAAGCTTTGTTCGAATCCTGTGTAGTTCACACACACTCTCCATCTTGAAGGCTTAGGTGGGAGAACTACATTTGCTAGCCACTTTGGGTGCTTGACCTCTTGGACCCTATGCAAACAAAGACTAGAATTATCAAAGTAAGCGAGTGTGGATCAGTGATAAATCTACTCTTCAATCATATTTGCTTTGAAGGTAGTGAGCATGTACATAATTGTTCACGGACTTGCCCGTCTCTACCACCGTTCACGGATTACAAACTTTAATCATCAATTGAATAAATATTACTCCCTACATTGTATGTTAAAAACACTTCACAAACCAAATCTAAATAGTTTTTATTTAATTGATGATTAAGATTTATTCAAATGGACTGCAAAAAGTATACATTGGAACATACATAGTTGAAGGTAATGATGTGAAATTACGAAAAGAGAATGGGGCGTTACCAAAGCGCTCACAAGTTTTCGAATGGGTTCCTCATTAAAGAGAATGGGGGGGGGGAAACCATAACCCCAAGAAAGAAAGAAAAATCAAACTAGTAACAGATAGCTTTAATAAATCAGACTGATCTACTACACAAGAGGAATCAAAGGCACCAAAACCCAGCCTTATGGCATGAAATAAGTCTAAACTCTTTTAGATGATGGAGACTATTTCTAAGACGCTCCCCGCTCGAGCAACATAAAAAAGCACACAAAGCACAAACACAAAATGAAAAATACTAACAAGAAAACGGAAGGAATGTGCCTCGCTGCTTTACACCATCCACTTGAGAATTTAAGAGACTAAATCAATAAATGGGGGTTTTATTTCACAAAAAAGGAGAGGATATTATAAATGTTTTGTTGTAAATCTAAGAGCGCAATTGTGTGACACACACAAGGGCATGACTTGTCCTAATAGTAATATACTATGCATCGTCGGCCTCCAGATTTGGTTTAATAGCGGATTTCAATTCTACATGCGAAACTCTGACAGCAGACAAGATCCGCTCTGGCAAATCTTCAGGGGTGTTTCCCTGTCCATTAATGCCGAACACATCATTACAAGTTTACAACAGGTTATCATCATTCCTATTTCACACACATCTTATTTTTTAAATAAAAAAACTGAGTGAGTACCTGTATAAGAAAAGCCATGTCAACCACTAGGGCTGAAATCAAACCGGTCACGAGCCCCAGAACTCCAGTTGCCACAGTAGACGAACCAATATCAACATCAATCTGGAAAAAAAGGACAAGCAATAGAATGAACATTGATACTGATGTGTGAATCTGCGGCTTCTGCGCTCTATCAAACTCTTTTAAGACTTTAAGTATCTAGACATATATGCACATTGAATGCTCAAATAGATGCAATATTCTCAAGGCAATAGTTTTTACTTCCAAATACTTGGGACCTCGGATGTAGTTGCAATCAACCGCCTTTCCAAGCAAGCAAGGGGAGGTTCCAACACTCTGCCGTACAATCCATGAGCCCTGAAGCAATAGCATTCACAATAGGGTGTCATGGTTTTACTAGAGTTCAACGACAAGGATCGAGTGTTATTACAGCCTACATTGTTTTAATAAGCAAAAAAGATCCAAAAGGCTCAAGTGGGTTGCAAAGAAAGCCAAGTTCGATAGCTTGTGATACTATGCAAAATAGTGGAGCACAAAATGACAAATAGATAATTGTCAGCCAAGCCATATCAAAGCATCTAATCTCTTAGCATTCAACAACCCAATGACCACATGTGGAATCTAGGTGGTGGATGTTTGCAGACTTAATTCCTATCTATATAGGTAGAGAGGTTGTTTCCTAATCTCTTGACATAGTTAAATGTCAATTGAGTCAGCTAGAGATTGGATTAGATAACATCACCTCTACCTATATGTACGCAGACCTTACCGTCAATTTTTTGAACGGAGCACTATAGGGCCCCCGGGTCATCCCATGACATTGCTAAGCGAAAACAACCCCCTAACAATACTAACAACAGTATACTCCTTCCACCCCTATTTAATTTACCTAGTTTGACATTACACAGATTAAGAAAAGGGATTTGTGTGATTGAGAATCACTTTGAAATGAAAGAATCTATTTTGACCACATGATTTTTTAAATAAAAGATAGGGACTGAAGAAAAAAGATGGAAAATTAAAAAGGAACAAACCAAGTATACAACATATACACGGAAAATTTTTGGATGGCAACAACTCCGTGCATGAGTACTATTTTTATAACTCAAAATTAAATGCTCACATGTTTTATTGTAAGCATTAAATGCAGGCCAAAATGATTGTAATTATTTGATCTTGAACCTAACTGTTGAGAAAATAAGATTCAATGATCATGGATGTCTACTTTTTTACAGTACGAATTGAAACTGCATCCATTGAAAAGGCCGAGGGAAACAATTCCTACTATTGTAATACCAGCACTCCATCCAGGAGCAAGAAACCTAGTAAACTTGTGAGGGATCAGATAGATAAGAGAACAAATACCTTGGGCACTGATGGTATTAGTTTTAGTCTACTATTGCGAAACTCATCATCCCCATCGACAAATCGTTGTAATAGAGAACCAGGAACGAGAGATTTAGTGACAAGATAGAAAACCATGCTGTAATGTGTTGATGCAGGTACCTTAATGAAGAAAAGTATCATCCTTCAATAAAATATAATGGCAGGAAAAAAACTGATACGCCATAATATCAATTGAATCAACTCACTTGCAGATTTACAACCAAAGAGAAGAGCCCTTTTTCTGAAGCAACCTGGAATATAGAAATATTAAACTAGTAGTGACCTTGATTACACGCATCAATGATATCACCTTTCAAGACAGTTATATATAAAAATTGCTTCCGTGCAACAGAAAAAACTAATAAGTCGCCCACTTTTATATTAGTGGTGAATTATTTAATTTAATGTGTTTTGCACTTCAATTATAATTCCAAGCTGCATGAAAATCTAAAGGTAGGTGTTGAACCCTAAACAAAGTTTCTGATCTATTGCATTTTACCATGGAAAAGTACATCCACACAACCACCACCATCCAGCACAAATAAGGTAAATATAAATGTTTTCCATTTTTTCCAATAAGAAATTAACAGACGTAGAGCATTACAATAAAGAGCGGATACCAATTAATGCGTAGGGGCCAGAAGATTCAAGCTACGTGTTCCGGTGACCTATGACAACATGTGTGGAAGCCCACCTCTTGAAGGCAGCTAGCCACAAACGGGCAAGTCACCAGGCAATGCACTACTGTCTCCTCAGCTAAGCAGCATGGACAGACTCCTGGTACTACAACATGTCATCTGATCAGATTGGAGTGGGTAGCAGCTCGGGATGGTTCTCGGGGGACGAGTGGAAAGAGGGGAAACAGACAATGTAGATGGGTGACCCCTGCGGTGGGAGAGCTTAAATGAAACATGGATGCCAGTCTTAAGCTTGATACTAAGTAAGCACGGGTGGGGATGGTGATTCGTGATGAGTTCGGAAGTTTTGTTTGTGGGACATCGAAATGACTAGGAAAGCTGGAGAATGCACTAATGGCAGAAGCAATGGGGATTCAAGAGGCACTTAGCTGGCTTAAAGAAGATTATGGGACACAGAAGATCACAGGAGATGGGCAATCAGACAGTCTTTAAGACCTTACAGCACATTAGGGACAATGTAGATGGGTGACATCTGGGGTGGGAGAGCATAAATGCAACATGGATGCCAGTCTTAAGATTGATACTAAGTAAGCACAGGTGGGAATGGTGATTCGTGATGAGTTCGGAAGTTTTGTTTGTGCTGGAGAATGGACTAATGGCAGAAGCAATGGGGATTTGAGAGGCACTTAGCTGGCTTAAAGAACAATATGGGACACAGAAGATCACAGTGGAGATGGACAATCAGACGGTCTTTAAGACTTTACAGCACATTAGGAAGAATTTATCATACTTTGATTGTTCAAGATTGTAGGAGTTTGATTAGTGTTTTCTTTTCAGCCATTATCAGTTGTTAGTCGGTCAGCGAACCAGTTTGCTCATTTGTTTGCTAGGGCTTATCAACTGGAGTGGGTGTCTGTCCCTCCAGTGTCCATTTGTGATGCTTTGTTGGTGGATGCTATGAATTAATGAAGCTATTTCTTTCAAAAAAAATTAATTAGAGATTTTAAATAGCCACCCAACAGGAATTCAAAACTTTCTCAAAGAATACAGCCCTAGGAGATAAAGATCTACTGTAGTTCCATGCACAAGACTTACCAAAGGACGCGAAAAGGAATAGAGCATAAGGGAGAAGAGTCGGCGGAAAAAAGGAAAGGGGGAAGGAGGCAGAATAAGAACTATCTGAATAGCCTGAACTGGGAATAGTTTTAGCAACACATGTATAGTTTTCTTTAAATTGCTTTTATTTGAGTTATGCATTTCTTTCCAAATAGGGAAATGTTTCCTTAGTTTTCTACTTAGCTTTTTGGGGGGTGAGGGTGGACTGTGGAGAGTGTAGGAAAAATGATAGGAAGAACAAATCAAATGCAGAATAGAATTCTGATTTTTTTATTGTGAACTGCATACAGGAATTCTATGTTCCTGGAGTATTTATAGACAGCAACCAACACAACTATTGGTACTAGTCAACACATCTATTACTAACTAATACAACTTCAAGAAATAACTACCCATAACTATCCCTTTTATTTTTTAAATTTAAATCTAAACTAAGTAACTTCTGACCAAGAATTAAACAATACGATTAAATCTAACAATCACCCCCCTAATCGTTGTTTGTTCACACCAATCTTCACAATAATGTTGGTTCATCATCATCTTCAATCAAATTTGCAATGTCTTCCTTTTGATCCCATTTTGGACATTCGTTCAAAAAATGTCCTAACTCATTGCACTTGAAACACTTTATGTGACACTTATCCCGCCGAAACCGACCACCATCCTGACCTTTCCCGGACCCCCAACCTCTACCTCGGCCACGTCCAAAGTCTTCTCGGTTTGAGCTCCAACAACCACAATGCTCACATTTGTGCTCCTGAACATTCTCTTTTCCATCACCTTTAGTGAATAATAGTTTACCATGTGTATCTCCTTCCTCAGTTGGCTTTCTGATGCGTTCCTCGAATGCTTTCAATCTTCCCACCGCTTCTTGAAACGGCATTGTGTTAATGTCAGCAAATTGTTCAATTGCAGCAACGATCTATATGAACTTTTCAGTCACAGAACCCAAAAGCTTTCGAACCAATCTTGTCTTCAAATGCAGACCCAAGATTGTTTGCTTGTGTTGCAAGTTGACTAATTTTACCAATCATCAAGTGACTCATTGTTCTTCATCTTTAGAGTCTCAAAATCTGATTCAAGTGTCTGTAATCGCACCGCTTTAACCCTGTCAACACCAACGAAGCGAGTCTTCAAAGCATCCCAAATTTCTTTTGCTTCAGTAAACTGAGCAACTTGTAGTACCATCTCTTCTGGCAAAGCTTGAAACAAATATGCTATTGCCATATTGTTCTTCTTTGGATCGATTTCTGTTCCTGGTTCGATCACCTCCCAAATCCCATTAACATTAAAAATCACTTTGATCTTCACGGCCCAAATAGTGTAGTTTGTAGCAGTTAGAATTGGAACCTAAAAAGATAGTGAACTATTTTCCCTTGTAGTCACAATCTGTCTGTTGTCTTCCATTGCACGACTTTAATTCCTTTGACAATTTTCACAAAATTCTTAGAATTTGATTCCTTCCTAGGTCGTAAGCTACCTGCAATCGACCATCAACCAGAAAACAAGCCCCTGCTTTTCCGTCTTCCAAGCCACTAAACGAAAGCTAACCCGCTGATTCGTTTTTCCCGCACTGTTTGGTTGGAATGCTTCTGCCAAAGGAAAAAACTAGCCACTTGCTATTCTTGTCCTAGGCGAGGAAGAATCTTGTCGAAGATTTTTTCTCTTGTCAAGGAAGTCTCTAATGCTCCGTTATACGATCTGGCAGATCTCCCTTTTCTTGCCGCTGATCGCACACGCTCCGATACCAATTGTAGAAAAAATGATAGGAAGAACAAATCAAATGCAGAATAGAATTCTGATTTTTTTACTTGAACTGCATACAGGAATTCTATGTTCCTGGAGTATTTATAGACAGCAACCAACACAACTATTGGTACTAATCAACACATCTATTACTAACTAATACAACTTCCAGAAATAACTACCCATAACTGTCCCTTTTATTTTTTAAATTTAAATCTAAACTAAGTAACTTTTGACCAGGAATTAAACAATGAGCCTGGTTCCATGGCCACTGGATTCCAGTGGCCATGGAACCGGGCTCTTAAACAAGACGATTAAATCTAACAGAGAGCTGTAGTATGTAGCTGGTAACTGATCAGAAATAAGACCCTACAAGTTTGAAAACTTACTTGTGCTGCACAACCATGTCGCCTTGCGACATGGTCCATCCGTTTTGCATCTTTCAACCAATCTACTGCAACAAGATCCATGGTGTGTTTACCAGCTGGAATCTAGAAAGCAATGCCCAAGCAAGATTAAAGCATGTTCCCAATAAACTTAAGAAGTATGCAATAAATATAAAGGGAAACTGCAAGGACCTTGGATTTATCAAAGCAAAAACTCCTGCTCCGAACCCTGAAGTTGTTTCCATCAGATAGAGTCCAACATTCACGTGCATTGTCACGGTCATCACGCCGAAGATTACCAGAGAAAATGGACAAATCTATTTGATCCGTGGGTTCTTCTTCACGGGCTTCAACTAGAAGCATAAATAAATAGAATAATTCATTCTTAAATACATAAAAATGTAAATTTTATCAGGAGGTTAAAGAAAAATGAAAAGAAATACCGTTCATTTTCATTTCATTATCAACTTTTGGCCGCTCTGCCTGCAAAAAGGTCCAAGAATAATTGGTAAAGGGATTTCAAAAAAAAACTAAGATGAAGAAAAACATGATAGTCACCTCTTCATCTGCTAATTGAAATTCTTCATCCTCGTCAGAGTATTCATCCAACATTGCTGCATTTTTATTTGCAGCACTCATTTGGTCTAGAGAAGAATTACGGTGATGGTGAAGAGAAGTTTCCTGAGATTTTTGTTTCTTCTTAGAGGAACCAGAAGCTGAGGTCATATTGACCATAACTGGGATTCTTGGAGCTGATGACCTTTCATCAGTTTGTGAAAAATACTCACGTAGTCCTATATGAAAAAAAGCCCAAATGAAAGACAGTGTTTAGATGCATCATATGAAGAAGTGAAAACTAACATGATTACACTGAAATAGACATTGGACCTGATTGCGAAAAAAAATTAAGGCAATCCAATGACAGCGTCAGTTATAATCTATAAGAAGTAGGAATTTGGTATTAAAGCGTACCAGCAACACTGTTCAGCATCTGAAGCAAGCAATGTTGCTGAAATGACGGGATATAACCTACCCCCCATCCTTTTAAATAAATCTGCATGAGATGCTGCACCTGTGTTCTAGGCCTACCATTACGTGGTTTCAGAGAGGAAATATTATATCCACCACCTGTGGGAACAAATAACAGTTTAGTATCTATTTCGAAGATTTAAATGGTTTCAATTTCTCCGCGAATTAAAGCTTAGGACAGTGCATAAGGCACCTGCATCAGTGGATCATGCAGAGTCCATTTTGGAATATTTGTTCAACCTACCAACCCAACTCTGTTCCCAGAGAGGCTTCAAGGGGTTAAACATAAAAATTGAAGTAAATTATCAAGCATGTTCACTACACGGGCCCAATCATAAATTTTCATAATAAGTTAGAAGCCCAGATAGAACATGGCCTTCAATTACACCGCAAATTTCAAATGAGAGAAGTCAAGAAGCAGTGAAGGCTAACTGTACTTACTCTCAATATGAGCACGGATATATCCAGGCTGTGGACCACAATTTTCATGCTCCCTAGAACGAAATAATACAACTACACAAAACCAATTACAGATCATGAACAAATTCATACCTGACAAGAGGATATGTAAAGAATAAACAGAGTGCCAAAGAAAACATTTACCATAACTTCCATCATCATTTCGACGCCAATAGCGGACATAACACAGATCACGTGGCCACACCAGCCTGAAATAGCAAAATATCAATTAAAAAGTAACAAGGCAAAGTAAAATAGAGTGGAACCAAAACAAGTATAATGGCTATTCTCAAAAGTTTTCATGAAAGGTTGATTTGTCAATTTTCAACTTGACTTCAATTTAATGGCATACAATTATGCTTTGGTGATCGCGTGAATATATAATGATGAAAAAAATGTTACGTTGGGAACCAGTCAAGTTGAAGGCGGTGATAGAGGATTGCTGTATGTCCGTCCACCTCCTCAACTAAACTACCATATTGAAATGTGCAATCCCACCTGTAAAGTTTACAGAAACATCAAGGATTGAATAAAACGCCTTGTCTTCTCTCAGTTTGGAGGGGAATAGCTTCCCAAAAACCGCCATACTTTGCCTTAGAAGAAGTAAAAGTTAATTGTTCCATACCAAGCATACATTGTTGGGAAATAATAGGAGAAATAAAGCATGGTGGATGGCATAAAGCCACCATACGCCATGGCAAAAGAATAAGATGAGACTATGAGAGATGCAGGGAGCCAGTGATATGAGAGAGAGAGAGAGAACATAGCGATGTTGATTCTGTATATTCAGACATAAATATTGCATGCATGAGGCCCTATTCATAGCTAATATTAACAAGTAAATATAATTTCATCACTCATATACATCATAAAGTTGATGTAAATCATGTAATACCATAATTTCATCACTCATTACACCCCCACCCACCCCCCACCCCCACCCCTCAAGCTATCTCATACCAGGCTCAAAACTTGCCATAAAAGACCAATATAAAATGTTTTTAAAAAATGAGATGGTCCAAAGTTAGGCATTCACTGAGAGGCTCTTCGGAATTGTAAGTTCGATGGGTAACTTGATGAGTTCTCCAAGATATTAACATTCGAGGGAATACCACATGTGAGGCTAATCCAAAGAATCTTCGGAGGGAATATCACGTAGTATTGCAGTTCATCCAATGTTCAAAGTTGCATCGCGCAACATGCCTTAAGGCGCACAATTATGTGCCTTGGAAAAAATATGCCTTGTAGCATATCCTAAATCGCGCAATTACATGGCCTGGGCAATATTGGATGACGGGTGCACAATAGGGTGTCCACAATGCCATGTATATGAGGCGTACACCTAAAATTTTTAAGAGAAGTAGGTTTTTATACACCGTACAGCACCCAACTGAGAAGATTTGTGTGCTCGAGAATTCTCTCCCAGTCACAATATACACTGCAGTTTCTCACTTTCTCCTCAACAGAATCTACAATTTTCATTTTTTGAACATTCACACCAGACCAAGAACAGTCTTAAACTTAAAGGCTTAAAGCTATTGACAGAAACATGAAACCTCGTCCAAGAAAAATATAGAGGCTAGCAACACAAGCAGGGCATGAATTTCTCCGTCAACAGCAACTGGCGAAATCAACGAATTAGGAGGGAGAAGGACACAAGCTAAACACGGTGGTACATGCATGTCACACGCCCTCAACCAGAGAAAGATGTTCACCATAAAAGTTACTGGTTGAGCGGAAAAGACTACTCATGCCTCAAAAAGACTACTCATGACAGAACGATAATGAATGTGATACCATGTGAAATAATAGGAGAAATAAGCCATGGCAGATTGTGTAAAGCCGCTGCCATGCGAAAAGAATAAGAAGAGAAATGCAGTGATGTGAGAGAGGGGGGGGGCTATATTGATTCTGTATATTCAGAGATAAAAAGTTGCATATGTAAGACCTTAATATAGCTAATAATAACTATGTCAATATAATTAGATATTTACATCACACATATAACATCACAAAGGCGATATACCGATGTATTACTATATCTACTTCTCCACAACTTGGCAACTTGCAACTCGCAAGTATTAATTTTGTCATAACTATATTATTGATACAAGTTGCCAGTTTTCCTGACGATAAGTAAACTACTCCTGCCGAGCTTTTAAAATAGGCATGCTACAAATTAAAAAATAGTTGCCAAAAAATCAAATTTATAACTGCTTTTGACCATATATCCTGTGAATGGAATCTAATATAAAAGAAATTGGCTTGGCATGTTTTTTCATCCTTTATTTTTTACCCCCTTCATTCCTAACATAAAAAATTTCCATCATCTCTGATGGAGCCAAAGATTCATTATTTTTTGGCTTTGAGGTGTGATGGAATAAAGCAAAATAGATCTCTAAACTGTCTGAGCTTCTTTAATAAATGAAGTAGCAGTTAGTCAATCAATGCAACTTTCGATGCTGAGTCGGGGGTCTCTTTGGAAACAGCTCTGCATACACACACCCTCTCCAGACCCTACTCTTCTGGGATACAACTGGGTTGTTGTTGTATTCCTAACATAAAAGAGAAGATTCTAAAATAGAACCAAACTTTAAAAAAAAAACTATGTTGCTTTCTAAAAATTGGTGTCCTGATGACTAGTAACTTAAAATATTTAAAGGTGCACGCTTTCAACTTTATTTATGAAGAATAATGAAGTCTAAATGTATGTGCATGCCCAAGTTATACTCAGACAATAATGGAAAAGTCTCACAACTTTAGATGACAATAGCGACCACATACTCAAAACGTGTTGTGTCCATGCTCATGACAAGCTCGAATATTTCTTCACAACTAGCTTCAACAACCCCAACAGCTTTCATTGCTCTACTGCAACTCTTTGGCTATATAGAAAGAAAACTGGATCATGAAAACCCCTTGAATTATGATATTCATCTTATACTCTCCCCTTGTCCCTAAAATAAACTTCATCTTGCTTTTAGCATGGAGTTTAAGAAAGTGGAGTAGTGTGGTTGAGAATTGTTTATAAATTCTAAAAAATATCAACCACATTCATTTCCTTAAAAAGGAAAGGTGAAGTTTATTTAGGTACAACAAAAAAGGTAAATAGGTTTTAGATATGTACAAGAATATCAACATCAACAAGTTCCTCGAATATGCGAAGTCCTGCAAAATCCACATTGAAATGTAGTCAAAGACATTACGTAAGCTAGATATTTCACCATAATTAATCTTTAATGCTTAAAAAATGACTGAAAACAAAGAAAAATAATCAACCATTTTGACATTGGAGCAGACGCCAATACTTTCTAGAAAATGCCTGATTGTTGGCATTCTGGTTTGCCAAGTCTGAGTCAATTTCCTTGGTCCAGTCAAAAACAGACTCAGGAGGACCTGACAATACGTGGAAATCTAAGCTAACATAAAATATAAAAATAAAGAGGATAAAAACATGCCAGGCCAATAAGCAAACCAAAATTACCATTCCCAATTGTTGTTCTTCGCAACAAGCTATGACTAGATTCATCTTCCTCTTCAGCAGCACTGAACCTAGAGAGGGATTGAGGGGGGAGGGGGGGGTCAGATATCAAAAGTACTCATTCAGTTAATAGATTTAGCTTAGCCTTTGAGGGGTAAAGAAAACAACAATATACTTCCAAGCCCTAACAGTTTAATTTTTGTGTGTTTAACCAATGCACAAAAAAACAAATTAACTCTGAGATAACTTTTAAATAAATCCAATAAGATAAAATAAAAATTACAGAACCCAACCACAAAACAATACTACTCCCTCCCAGGGTGACAGAAACAGGTGAATGGAAAACCGTGTGGTAGGTTACGTGAAGAAATTAGGTAAAATAGAACATTAAACATATAATTTTTTAATATCTTTAATATATAATTATTAGATATACAATTCTGTTTAGTTTGTTCTAGTGTGTACTGATATAAATCCGAATGTGTAACTCTCTTAAACTACTCAGAAAGTGCTTAAATGAACTGTTCCAAAGGTCAAAAGTGGACAAAGACACTGGGACGGAGGTAGTAAAAGGTAAAGTAGAAACCAATTCCTCAAGTACACAGGCTAGGATTCAAATGAATGTTTAAGTATCAAATTACAACCGTAGATAATGTGACCACAATCAGGAGCAAGTACATCATGAGTTCTGCTACTATCCTATTATAATCAACTAAAAAATGCATAAGGTTCATAAATTGAAAACATTAGCTAGGCACCAAAGTACACATGAATTATTTCATTAGGTTGTGTTCCGTTCAACTTATTTTCCTACTTATTACTTATTAAAATCAGATCAAATCCAATCAGATCAACTACTAACTATTATTGCAACCAACTTGTAAGATTTTGTGTGATGTATAATTTGTAGCATGGAATATTTTTTTGCTGAACACTTGTAGCATGCAATACTATTATGCAAGATGCAGAAAAAATGTAATATTTTGTAGATATTTTCTAATGATTGGATATTTTAATAATAATACAATCTCTTCCCTGTATTGAATATTTAAAAGTAAAAGATTAAATTTTTCAATTATTTGTTATTGTCAACGATTTTTATTCTAATGTATATATGAATTGATTTTTAATAAACATAGAATAAAAGTTATTGATTGTATTATAATATGAATGATCATAATAATTTTTATAAGTTATTAAATTATGGTAATAATTTTAAGTTTAATTTGAATCAAATTTCCAATCAGATCATATCGAATTAGATCCATTCAGATTGGATCATGTCCACACATATCAGATCAAATCAGAACTTCAAAAAATCACATTAGATCAGGCAAACGGAACACAGCCTTAATGGTTTAATGGTTAACTATTGAACCTTCAGACCCAATTTATCATGCCCATTTTACTTTTTGATTGGTCTCAATTTATCTTGTAAATTTCCATTTGTAGAAAGCAGTGCAGAATTCTTATTGTTTCTCCTGCATATGCATAAATCTCAACTACACAATTTTCACTTTGCCAATCTTTGTGCCCAGTCAAAGTGAACAACATAAATTGGGATGGAGAGAGTATTAACTTCAGTCCCTCTCACTCTCTCGAAACTCAATAGATTGATATGATAATCTTGATGGTTCAATGAATGGTATCCAACCACCCTAATATAAATTTCACTTCTTCAACACAGGATGGACTTTGTTATATTACTCATTTTCTCTTCTACAGATTTTAGTTTCATCATCTATATACTACAGAAACGCATCAGCATCCTACAATGGTTGGTTAAGGCTCTTAAAAATCAAAAACTACCACAACCTATTCATCTATATACTGAAAAAGAAACAAAAACTTAGAATCAACCACTACATATGATATGAAAGGACGTGATACTTACTGACTTTCATGATCTGTTGAGGAACCATTCCTGTCATTGTCCGCACCAGATTTATACTCAAAGGAGACATACTTGTTCCCATTAGATGGTTGTGACTCTTGATGCTGTAGACCATAATCAGAACACTGTAAATCTCAGGTAATATCAAGGCACGTGAAGCATTTACAGAAATTGCTTCATCCATTTAGTTTAGGCTATGCGAGTCTACATGAAATAATACTGATTAAGAATTGTCGAAATTGTGTTTAAAAACTTGTAGGAATGAGATAAAGGGAATAAACGAGAAATGTGGAAATGTGATATAAGAAGATGACGAGTATATGTATATTTGAATATTGAATAAATACTAAATCAAAATAAAGTACTCCATTAAAGGTATAAAAAATAACCTGATCAATGACAGACTCAATCTTTTCCTTCCAAATCAGGGCCTCTTGAATGTTGAAAGCTGCCATCTGGAACAGTATATACAACCACCATTACTAGCCATCTGGTGTACAGAAACTTAAGAGCACCATAGTGACATGACATGGTTTAAAAAGTACTAAAGAATAGTAAGTAGAGTCCTAGTTTTTGAGAAATTGTTGTTCCTCATTCTCATTAGGTTTAGATACATTGTATCTCAATATAAACATTGTAATAATCTTTAGAGATTAATAAGCTTGTAAGTTAAAGATTTTATTAATAAAAAGATTTGTTATTAAACAGTGTATCAGATTCTAGCTCCTTAAATATTTCAAAATGAAAAACTACAAACCCTAGCCCCTTCATTTCTCGCCATGAACATAACCCATGTCTTGTGCTCTTCACTTTCAGGAGTCTCTGGTTATTGTTTGAGCAAACTGGCTGCACCACCTTGCTTGAAATTGTATCACAACGCTTTGCCTCAAATCCCGCCACCACCCCACACTGCAAAGTGCAAACACCCCTCTTTCCAACTGAAAAAATCTACCCATGTGCGGGGGAGTCCTATTTTGATGTCTTTTTATGGCAATGTTCTATGATTCTGCTTGTGTGCATCTCACAACTCCCGTGTACACTTCTTATTGATTTTCAGTAGCTTTGAATTTTTTAAGATTTTCTTCTTGCAAGTTGCCAGTCATGGCAGAGAGTAAATTTTGGAACGTAATTATGTTATTCCTGATGTTTAAAAACCTGAAAACAACTACCCACGTCTATTTATGTACCAAATTTTTCTGAGTTTAAATTGAAATGCTCCCAAAACTATAAAGACTGGGTGGGTATGAGATATTGAACTATGGTTTATGTGGTGGGGTGTAGAATATTATTTGGTTAAGGGATCTTATTAAATAGATCATGAAAAAGGTGTTTGAAAGAGAACTTATGCTTGACTGTGCAATTTGCTTTGGAAGTCCTTTCACATTAATTGATACTATGTCCCGTTCCTTCAACCTTATTTTTCTGCAAAGGAATGGACCAAGTCTCTATACACCATTATAAATTTTCAATTTTATCATGTTGTCAATGATAAATTTTAATTAACGAAATCAGGAATGCCAATGGAAACCTTCATAAGAAAAATCCAGTGATTGATGACTAAGTGCACACTCTCACCTTCAGATGGATCCCTTTAGCAGATTGGTAAATGAGACAAACTTTGGGTGGTTACCCTATCTAAGCTCGGGTTAAAATAAAGGACATTAGAAACAAAATACCCAATGAAGGAGCAATACCAAATAATATAGAAGTCTTTAAGCATCTCCTTCAAATGTCTCTTAGTCCTAAAGAGATCAGCGCTGACCCATCAATTCTTATTTGCCAATTACCATGATGATCATGGAACATGAAATGCTAACTGTGAAAAGGGGGGAGGCGTACGAAGAGTATTCCCCATGTTTGTAATTCTTTTAACCCAGGCATATACAAAAAAAAATTGGGGGAACTTGCATGGGAAATTGAAAGATGTGATCTTTGTCCTGAAATGAGGCATGCACATGGTCAAAGATGGAACATGAATGGCAAACCCACCGTAGCAAGTATCGTTCAAATCCGAACATAGGATATAAGTTCTCATTTCATCTCTAAATCAGTTTATGATGAGATTCTACAATTCAAGAGAGCAGGTTATTTGTGGCTAATCTTGCTTCTATATCTTTTCCAGTTGCTGCCTATTAGTCAAACCCTCTATGAATGGTTCCCTCAGATTGGTGTGCACTACGAATCAAAGTATTATCCTTCTCAGACTGAATGATGTTGAAGAACTCTGAAATATATACTCCCTCCATCCCAAGATTTGCTTCCCAATCATAGGGCCAAAATGTATCTTCTTTCCTTACATATTTTCATTGACCATTTGTTAAAATAAAATAGTCATGTTACCTCTTGCTCTAAAGATCTTTTGATGTAGTTTATAAATATATAATTTTTTTAGATTTTTCACTATTAATTGAATGATTAAATTAATTGAATTGAAAATAACTTTCGTCAAACATGGTAAGCTAAAACAGGAAGATATTTTTGGTACAAATAGAGCATTATAAATCTCTTTAATCCTTCAAGTAGGGGTGGGTTCGGAAAACCAAAAACCACAAACTGAATTGAAATCAATCAAAACGAGTACAAAAAATGACTAAAAAAACTGAAACCGAACGGTTTTGATTTTCACTCTGTAAAACTGAACCGAATAAACTGAAAATTCAAGAATTACGTCATTTTTGTGTAGATGTGATATATTACAAACAAAAATTGTAAAAATAAAAATGTAATAATCCATCACACAATTAAATTAGAGTTTGCTCATCTCAACTTTATACTCTTTTGATCATATTAATATAAATGATAAAAATAAAACAAATAAAAAATATATTCTAAACACTAATAATTTAAATAATATTAACATTAATAATTGATCTTTCACATATTTGCATGAGATATTTTAATGTTCTTCAATTTCATTAAACTCATTTTTTCATATTTACATGTTAATTTACAAGATAATGTTTCTTTGTACAACACAATTTCAATTTTTTTTAGAGTATTTTTAAAAAAAAACCAAAAAACCCGCAAAAAATAAAAATCCGAACTGCAAAAAACTGAACCAAAACAACCAACGATTTACATATTTCTTATGTAATACCAAACCGAACTTTTATCTTCTATTCGGTTTTCAGTATTGAGTAAAAACCGGACCCACCCCTACCTTCAAGATAGAGTGTTGGCTCATGGCTGCCATGTTCAGCTTAGCAAGTCTGTACTTGACCCCAAAGTCAAAACCCATTAATATGCTCAACCAATGCTAGTTCGGGTGAGGTCGCCGGATGTTGCTCAATTAGGTGGTTAACACTTGAGGAGTCTGTGCCGGCTACAGCACCCCCCCCCCCC